CGCATGATGTCAACAATCACTGCTTCTCTTTCCAAGTATGTGGATGACACTCATCATGACTGGGACAGATACATCCCTTACATACAGTTTGCATACAACACCACTCCATGTTTAGATAGTACTTGGGGCGGTGGGGTAGCCTAGTGGTTAAAGCGTTGGCTCGTCACGCCGAAGACCGGGTTCGATTCCCCACATGGGCACAATGTGTTAAGCCCATTTCTGGTGTCCCCCGCCGTGATATTGCTGGAGTATTGCTAAAAGCGGCGTAAAACCAAACTCAGTCAGTCAGTTAGATAGTACTGAATACACCCCTTTCTTTCTAGTTCATGGTCGCCATCCAAGAACATTCATGGAGACTGACCTTCCAAATCTTGAAGTGCCCAAAACCGGAGCTTCATATGTGATCCCTTTAATGGAGGTTGTGGATGTGTCTCAAAAGTTGCCATTCAAACTCTGTCAGATAGGAAGGAATCCATGAGTGAGAAATCAAAAGCACATGAACATCAAGTTGATTTCTATGTCGGTGACACTGTGTTCTTATACAGACCTGTGTTAGTCTCGGGTCAGTCGAGGAAACTTGCAAGACCTTGGGCTGGTCCATATTACATTGTTGAGAAATTATTTGACATTCATGTGAAATTGAGAAGAAAAAGTGATGGTCGTTTAGTTCGGAACAGAGTTCATGTTAACCGTTTAAAACGTGGTTATTTGCGGATAACCGAGCCTGATGACCCAACATCACCCCCGAATGAGGACAGTTTAGAACCCTGCATCCTCCATGAAGATGAAGTGGCAGACAGCCCTCAAAAAGACTCAACTGATGAACATAAACCGCAAAAGGAGTCTTTAATTGGAGATAATTCTAGCCAACCAGAGTCTCAGGATGAACTCTCTTCTCAATATTATACTATAGAGAAAATTCTGAGGAAGAAATATTGTCAAAACAAATGGTTTTACAGGGTGAAATGGTTGGATTTTGACAGCAATCAAAGTTCATGGGTTGCTTTTGAAGACTTTATTGCAACCTGTCAACACTTTTGTTGAAGAAACACATTCAAAAATCCCCACTGACAGTCAAAGTCAGAGAAAATCTTGAACTGTTAGAAAACAGGTTTCTTGTGAATGAAATAATAGAGTTAATTTACAAGTTGTTTACAAGTCATGTTATAATTCTACTTAAACACTTTAAGGTTATTACAGTTAATTTAGTGTTTGCATTTGCATTTGTTTCAGTGATAAGTAATGAAGAAACACTGATAACTGAGTGAAGTACATGTCAAATGGAACAGACATAATTTATATTTGAAGTGTAACTTTAAGAGATTATCATCTGTTTGTAATGTGTAAGCATTTTAAGGGTATTCACAGGAATATGTTTGTTGTACTTAAACTGTGATTTTATCCAGATTTGCCCAAGTACCAGCAATGTATTTGCCTAAACGATTTAATGAAAATACACATTTTGTAATCATATACCCATCATGTTATGGTAAAACTTGGTGTTTTGTATGTTTCAGACTTTGTTTTAAGAGTGTAAGCATTTTAAGGATATTCACAGGAATATTTTGTTGTACTTACGCTGATATATTTGCTCAAGTACCAACAAAGTATTAGCCTAAACCTTTAATGTGAGCACATACCCCATAATCCTGTTTGAATAATGTTGGTATTACAATTGATAAGTTTAAACTTTCATGTTTCAAAGTATTAATGTTTGTTGGTTTTAGAGAAAACAAATTGCCAATCTTATTGTATTAAATGTATGACATGGTACTGTCATTAATGATGTTATGGTGTTCTGTTTCGCGCCCAGAACACCACGACATGACGTTAAACATTTCTATCACTTCTCACTCTAGTTATCTTTTTGAAAATTAAGATTTTTACTTAAAAGTGAAACATTCTGTTGATATGGTAAAACTAATTCTTTATCATTATAAAAATTATATAAAAGTTTTATTGTTCGAGTGGTTCTCACTTTTAAAAAGTAGAGGGTGATGTGGCGTAGAGATATTTATCATATTTCAAACATATTTCTAAGTTAGATAGTTTAGTAGTCTAAGGGAGACAACTCTTTATTTAACGTCACTTGTATTCTTATTACCTCCCTTGTGTGAAGGAGTTTTTGGAGGACTTAAATAAAATGGCGTCTAAAGAAGATCGTCTGGTATGTTCTTTCCTGTCATTGCGACACTAATAACCCTTTTTGGGGTACGTGGCAGCCACGCCACAGTTCTATGGCAGTAGTATATTTAGCGGCAGGCCTTTTTGATAGCGCTGCAGAGTTGCTTCCCTTGGCTTGTATATTTTGTTATGTCGCATGTTCGACGAATTTCTTTAATGTTCTGAGTGGATAAAGATGCAGTCTATCTTTACTAGAATGCTCGAGAACTGTGTAAGAGCTATATAAAGGCTGTTTGTTGTGTTGTGCGACGCCACACCGGGAATCACACACACACGGACTTTTCATATTACTGGAGTTCTGTACATCTCTGCCATCGTTGATCAACATCGTCAAGACTTACTGTCCCTACCTATTCGTCTACTCTCATTGTATACAACCTTCATCAGTATATCTGTAAATGTCAAGACTCTGGTGAGATAATATATTATATTTTGTGACCCAGTATTATAGATTTGTGACTCAATTGCATTGTACTAAATATCTGTATTGTCATTCATTGTACCTTGCTCATTGTTTGCTCAATATATTATTGAATATTTTAGACTTGTCTGTGTTATATTTTGCTGGTTCAAAGGGGGACTCTAAAACCTTTTGTCACGGCAATTATTTATCCGTAACATTTGGAAAACATGAAACGGAGTACTTCGTTCAAATTTAAGGTACGGATTATAAATCTATCGATCACATTACAGACGACGAATCGATTCCGTCAGGTATCAGAAACTGATACTGATGAGGTGATTAACCGCAATGAAAATAGAAACACTAGCAAGAAAAGCCTGCCCGATTTTGTTGTTCTTTTTAGACAGAAAGATCTCATTTTAAGCATGAGTTAGCACAGCATTAGCGACTTGTTTGCACAAGCATCATTCATCACCACTCGCCCCTTTCCGTAAACTCCAAGAAGACTCGTCCCGGTCTACGACAAACCAATCAGAACGCGCGTAATGAAGGCGGTGCTTTGATAAATATAATCCCGAATACTTAAATCGTTTATGGCATTATGTCATTGTTTAAAAAGTCTTGAAATATATGTATCATCATATTGAAAGTACAAGGAATGTAGGTAAACATAATTGTTTCGGCTCGTGTGTATTTTTTAGAAAAGATATTACCATGGAAGGTGAGAGATTCAAATCCACGCACGTGCGTTTGTTTACATAACGGCTCTCATGGGTCCAATTGAGTGTATTTCTGACGATCTTGCGGGCTTGTTGTGGAGATTGTACGCTTCCAACAGTTTTAGAAAATGTAATCATAAATCGCTACGAGTAGCCTAGAGTTTCAAAACAATTATATTATCTCTGTGTGTAACTAATCAACATTAATCTTTACAATTGGGCATATATTTCACATCTCTGGGAATATTTTGGTCTGACTTGTTTTGGTCATTCATATATTTTCAGCGAATTCATTTAAAATTCCACTTGGCCATGGGTATGACAACAAAGTTACACGAATGTTCAGTGTGAGAAATATTTAAAAGTCATTTTTGAGTATCTGCTTTGGGATTTAATTTAGCTGAGTTTTTAAAACTCTTATTTGCACATTCAGTAAAACAAATATCATTTGTGAACAGCTGGTAATAATTACGTTAGAATATGCCTTTAACAAATCTGTATTTTCTCCTTTTAGTTGTATCAAAGACGTTTAATTCCTTAAAATAAATAGGTAAAAACCAAAACAGCAATAAAATACAATGTACGAGTGCTTCGGTGATATTAAGAACCAGTGGTATCAAACAGGAATAGAGTTATCGTTCTTGTTTAAAGTAGTTCTGATGTTCATGCGCCAATATGAAAACCTTCCAGAGGAGCAAGAGTCGCTATTCGGCTTGTCCCGGAATAACACGAGTTGGTCACGAATGCACAAGAATATGCCGCCGTTATGAACGACCTTCACCTTGGTGTACCGCCAAGTATTCTTACGCGAATGCTCGATTCTCTATAAATTGACGTACGATTTGCTTCTTCTTTTAGAGTTATTTTAAGAATGACATGATATGACAAGGAAATTATTAACCTCGCGTGTTTCCATATCATTAATATCGTATATTAGAAATAAAAAACATAATACAATTTTTATTCCAAATATATGATATTAATGATACGGAAACACATGAGGTTAATAGTCTCTATATGCTAACAATCAACTGTCTCATTTTGACAGATCCGCTGACCTTTCTAAGATGTATGATTAGTTATACAATCAACATATTTGAGGCGAAATGGGCTGCGCATACAGTTTCTTTGACAAAATGAGCTGTCTTTTGCGCAACCTATTTTCAGTTTCATCACAATGAAGCTTACAACAGTGAAATGTTTGTCACTCAGTAATCGGACACTCAAAAACTTTGACGAAACGAAAACAGATAAGCCGCTGACAAACCCATGATAATATGTTAGTCCAACCCCTGATGATAGGATCATGGCATGCCTAAGGGCTGCAACTCTCAACAACAAATTACGTCTTCTTTGACCTGGTGCGTAGCAAGCCAATTTTTTCGTGTAAGCCCGATAGGTTGCAAAGCTTTATATTAGCTAGTATTGAGAGGTTGCCCAACTCTTTTAGCAACAATCATGTGTAAGCCCGGGCTTGTTTTAACAATGGTAGCTACGCCCCATTGACGACAGGGACGCTGTTAATGACAAGAGAGATGACAGCGACCGTCCATGTCCACTTTACCTTCATGTAGAACAATATTCTAGTAGCCTCCCGGCTTTACATGTCACAACGTTTGAGGGACAATCTGTCCATTCAGAAACGATTTCAAAAAGCGTCATTTGGCTCTTATATGTGACAGACAGACATTCAGAACAAACGGTCATCACCATGTCCTCCATCTTTTCTTGTGTTATGTGGCAGTGATTTTTATTTTCAAACAATATTCCAAGTGTAAGGCCTTGTACATTCAGTGACGGGCAGTGGAGTGTTGCATTTTGACTTATACTAGATTTAAATAGAAAAATCGGGAAAGTGCTACCAAGGAGCGTGTTCATCAGCATCGGCGAAGACATTTCAAGCATCTCGAGGCGGTACGTTTTAGGTTCGAGTCGGCGGTGTTGGAATGAAAAAAGTTTTTGGGTGGGGTCGGCAGTAAGGCGATGAGAAACACACCACAGTCATCCATCAAACTATTTTCCGCGAACAACATTTCTAAACCACGCCTCATCAGTAACCTACGTGAAGTATACAGGACCACAAGCCACAACGTAATCCAGGTTGTATCTGACCAATATTCCGTGGCCATACGAACATCTATAATATCCACAAAGTATGTCCTGTTCCCACTCGACACTGCACTATTATGGCCACATGCATAGCAATCTGAGTTCAAAGGCGCTCAAAACCGTTCCTGGCGACGGGTTTTGTGGGAACGCCGATGATCAACACTGACCGAAGTCCATCACAGTACAATTACACATCTCGGGTGGGTCAAGCGGTCAGCGCACTGTTCCACCCCTGTCCATGCTTTCCTCGATACCAGAGTCTCTGTCATCATCACCTTTTTCTAGATTCAGCACACGAGGTAGGTGCACCCCTTTTGTCGCCATTATCGACCACAGCTGTTCCTCACCCTGGGCAAAAATCGCGAACAGCACCCCTCCGATGAGGAACAATGCTGCCGTGATGAAGAACACGATCCGCCATTGTGATGCTGTTGCCTGGAATGCAATACAGTCAGGGTAGATGAAAATGATTGTTATTTCTGTGTTTACTTTATCAGCGTGTTCGTTGTTTAACGACTCACCATTATTATTGACGACCTAATATAAATAACAAAAATAATAAATTATTGCGCTAATTCCAGTCAATGCATGTTAACAAAAATGATTTAACACCCTCATCCGACCAGGAGTACACACACACACTTGCGGTGGCTGAGTGGGTTAGATGGCTGACCTTGTGTGCTGGCGACTAGGTGCCTCACTCTGAGACTGTGGTCTCGAATTCTGGATTAGACTCAACCCAACAATAGTTCTAGAAACTGTAGTGAGAAAGTATAACCTCATATACTCATGCCATTAATGGTTGTCACCCCTCTCCCCACCCCAACCCCACACACACCCCAAACCCCCATCCCACACACCCTCTCCAATAAAAAAAATTGAAGGGGGTGACAACCATTATTGGGTGAGGTGAAATTGGGTTTAACGTCGTGCTTGAGAATATTTCGCTCATATAACGACGTGCATGCGTGTGTATGTGTATGTGCGGCTGCTTGTACTAGCCCAGACTTAAGCTGGTTTTATAGTGCTAGCCCACTGAGATACCATGCCGCAGTGAAGCATGAATACCCCACTCAGACACAGTATACTGACTCCGAGCCGACCAGTCCTTGTTGTACCCATTAATGCCGAGCGCCAGGCAGGGACCAACAAGTACCATATTTTAACGTCTTTTGGTATGATGCGGTCGGGGATCGAACCCGCGACCTTCCGCTCTCCGGGCGGACGCTCTAACCACTACACCACGGAGGCGGTCGGCAACCATTATTGGCATGAGTATATATAACATGTGTTATAAACCCCAAGCTGACTACCTGGCACTGAAGGCTCTGCAGTCACGTACCGATCACACACATTTCCCAATTTCAGTGCCAAGTCTAGCCCATCAAATCCTCAGTTTTAAATAAAGTTTCTATAAAGTTCAATACTGTTTTTTATTTATTTTTTTTTTTTAAACTTTCATTTCGAAACTTCTAATTCCATGTGGAGTCTCCAAGTCCGCACGGTTGACGTAAGAGGATTAGGTGGAAAGTATGGTGAACAGTGCCCCGCCTGCTCATATCTAATAATAATAATAATAATGGAAATTTATATAGCGCTAAATCCAACCACTAAGTGGGTGCTCAAAGCGCAACAAAATAATAATAATGTTTGAATAGAGTTAATAGTGCAGTGAAAAGAGATGCGTTTTAAGATGTGATTTGAACACAGCAACTGATGGGGACAGTTTTAAGGCGAGGGGTTGTTCATTCCACAGCGATGGAGCACAAACACTGAAAGAACGCTTTCCATAAGAGGCCAGTCTATAAGAAGGAGTTTTCAAAAAGAATCTGCTTTCAGATCGCAGTTAACAATGGAAAAACTGAGGCTATGTTGGTTGGCTCTAAGCAATAGCTTCAGATGTCAACTGACATGAACTTAAAACTAGTGATTGGTAACTATGTTATAGATTTCTCATCCCGGGTAAAAAACCTTGGTGTCTATTTTGACTCCATGGATTATCAAGTTGACATATCTGTGTTCATGCTGTCAACCCCTTGCTTGCCCGGTTACTTGTCGCTGTGATGTAGCTGTAACACACTTGGTGACTGTCACATAAGACATGATGCACGTATTCATATACTTACATTGTTGTTGGTGAGAGCGCCGACTATACTCGGGCCAATAAAACCAGTGGTTGTACCAAAAGAATTGGTGATGCCCATGAGAATACCTATGATAGAAAAGGGTTGACCCTTTAAAGGCGCAGCAAATGTTATTGACAAAGAACATCCGCTAACGTTTTCTTTTATTGTTCCACAAAAAACAAATCGGAAGGCGAATTACAAACCAGCCTCAATGTTGGATTGGCATTGCTAACGCCATTTCGGCAGTCCCATGGTCTAAGTAAAATGAGTTGTCTCCCTTACCCTTATGATAACGTTAGATTGACGTTAAAATGGTGATGACACTCAATGGTGGTTGATGACGTTTTACCGATATTCAAGGGATGCTGAAAGCCGTGCTTACAAGATGTAGAATTTGAATTACTCTCCTTCATCCCGTACCATTTCTAGCCCATTGCCTGTTTTAGAAAGAAGGCATGTTTTGCAGAGAACAGTTAAGAATCATGAAACGATACTCTCCTACTCACACACACCCCTCTGTCCTCCCTACGCCCTATCCCTTCATGGTTATACACTCACTCACTCACTCACTTACTCGAGTCCTTATTCATATGTCTAATACGCTTGTTTCATCCCTAACAGAAGAACACCCACATTGTTGATCTCAGTTACAATATGTTTCCCCATACGTTGTTATGAAAGTTGTTTATAAACCGTTCTACTTTACCTGCAAAATGTGGAGCAATATCGAGATGGTTGACGCTGTATCCCGCCATGGTGAACCCTGTAATCCCGACCCCGAGACACAACAGCGCCACCGTCAACATCGGGTGGCAACCAGAGTACCCGATGCCAACCATGACAACCGCCGGGAGCATCAAACCTGTCAACACGTGGGGAGGGGTTCGGTCATTGTTTACAATCGCTGTATCAGATGCGTAAAATATGACCATATAAGGAGCTTTTGGACATATTTTTCCTAAATATTTCATCGACAGATCATCATCCATAACATATTCTTGTTTCTTATTTCTAAGATTCATGACGCGCACATCACATAAAATCGATAATCTTCACTGCGACGTTAAACCCAACTCACCAACGGTTACATAAAGAGCTTTTCAATAATAGAATTATCTCACATGTATTCACATATCTCACATTTCCTCACAAATACTCATATTTAATCATATTAACTCACATATACTCAAATCTCCTCACATTATATGATATATATATATTCCTTAACATTATCTCATATTTCCTCATATAATATCGTGTCTAAAGGCCTGATATACCACACATATAATCACCGTCGTGGTCGTATAAACGCAATTAAATACTCCTGGCCTAGGCCAGGGTGCAAATGTTTTACTACCGGTGAGTAAATGCTTATTTTTGCTACCCTAAGCAAATCTGGTCGTATAAACGCATAGCAAATTTACTCAGGGGTGAGTATTTTTCCCGCTCGATTTCATAATGGCTATTTTGGTAGTTTTCCCGCCTATACTTTTACGCGCCTTATTGGTGACATATCTGCTCAGTTGATGTCTGGCTTCCATTAAAAACAGACACACGACAATGGCGAACCGGAAAGAAACTCGGCGGTGCCAAAAGACGCGGTTCCGCTTGGAATGACGAGGAAACAAAATGCCTATTGGCAATATGGGAAGATAACAGTATAGAGGAATTACTGAAAACCCCAAAGCAACAATGTTTCGGTGTACAATACTGTCGCGACGGAAATGGGTACAAAAGGATTCAAACAGACCAATGTAAAGTGAGAATCCATACCTTAAAGAGGACATACAGAGAGTGTAAATCAAACCTGAAGAAAAGTGGAAAAGGAAGGAAACTTTGTAAGTTTTTGAAGAACTGGACGCCATTCTGGTACCAGACCAGCTCGTCGCCTCTGAAGGTTATAGATACATTGACCAAGAAAGTCGAAGATGAAGGAGGGGATTCTTGTGAACCTGATGATACAGCACAGGCAAAACACACAGGCTGTTGGTGACAGTTGTGCTGACATTACACCTCTTGCTGATAATGAAATTGAAAGGGATGAAAAGGATGCATCTGACACGGAAAGCAGAAAGAATAAAAGAAAGGAATCCACTGAAGGGGAAATGAAAAGGTGAAAAAGCGAGAAGAAAAGAGCTCGGAAGACGAGGATGAAGTAGCACTGAAATCTGCGATGGATGGATTTAGTGCAGCAAACGAGAGAGCTGATGATGATAAGGTTCTTGACCTGGAACGCCAGAAAATAGAACTTGAACGCCAAAAAGTTTGATGTCGAGAAAGCCAAGATCGAATCAGATGAAAGACAGAAGCGTAAAGGGAAGAGAGACAGCACCAGTTCACCATGATGAATATGATTATGAGAGCTGTAATGGGGACAGGACAACAGCCCCCACCTGTCCCATACAGCACGGGTCGTACAGCTCTAGTATGATGGAGGTGAATCGGTAAGAGGTCCGGGCCCTTCATCACGCTATTCCTCGACAGTCAACCAACAATCTTCAAAATGACGATTCTGGATAACTGATACTGAAGACGGAACAAGTTTCTACAATTTGTAGACTTCATGAATGACACAAGACTATAAAATGATACATTCATGATTATTTTAACTATTGCTCAATTCTGTTTTTTCATGAACCGCCATGAAGTTCATTGGCGTTTGGTTTCCATTTCATCCTTCGAGTTAGTTCCAGTGTGTGTCTTGAGACGTTTCCGTTCTGGTGTTTGTCCAGCCATATTCTTAGTGCTGCTGTAATCACAATGTTCATTTGAGCAATCTAGACAGCATCTAGATATAAGCCTTGTAATAATTCATGTTCTCTTTATGAATAAAGGATTTTTAGATTTAGTGCACATTTCACTTTTTCCGAAAAGAAGAAAAGGATGGTTTCACCCTCTGTTACCAGCTTTGAATAATTACTGAAAGCTCTCGTAATTATCCTTACAGCTTTGAGGATAATGCTGTTGAAACCATGACTTGTCATTCACTAATAACGTCAAATGTTTGCGTATCTTACCGTTTCGAAAATCATGATTCTGGTTTTGAGGCTATCGAAAGTGTGTATTATAGCTAATGCAAAACGTCATCTCAAATTGTTCTCTGAGGTTATGGTCAATGTGTTGCAATATTGTATTGGTGTGTTGACATAAAAGAAAAGGATTGCTTACATCTTCACAAAATACTTTAATTTGAATTTTTGAAACACGTGCATGTACAAGTTTAAATGTTTACAATAATCACCAATATGAACTATACATGGTTTACTCAAAGTAAATGTCTTCACAAATGAATAATGTCTTTAAAACACATTGTTGCAGAAAGCCAGCGCGATTTCATCACGCAGAGCTTTCGCACATTGGATCCCTTCGTCGCCCCCATCCTGTACATCCAGTTGGTAGTCATTTTCTTCTTCGTCTTCTTCGGTGTCCCAATCCTCCCTGTAGAGGTCACGTACACTCTCGCAAATGTTGTGGAGGACAACACAGCATGTAATTACCGTGCAGGCAAATTCGACGTCAACGTCCATCCTCTTCTGCAAACACCGCCAGCGTCCCTTCAAGCGACCAAACGCGTTTTCAATCGTCATCCTGGCTCGGCTGAGTCGATAGTTGAAGGTACTCTGAGCTGGAGTGAGGTTAGCTCTACCAGTGTAGGGCTTCAATAACCATGACTTTAAGGGGTATGCTGCATCACCAAGGGCATCTGTGTATTTCCGACGTTCTTCGACCAGTTTGGTAAGAGAGAACCATCATCACCAAGGAAATAAATGTCTGAGTTCACAAAGACACGGGGCGTCATGCACTCTGCCTGGCTAGCCAATATTGATGTTTGTAAACATCTGGTTGTGGTCACATACCCCTTGAAGGATAAGAGAATAGAAACCTTTCCTGTTCAGGTAGTCACCGTGTGAATATTTAGGAGCTATGATAGGGATGTGACTGCCATCTATAGATCCTACACAGTTTGGAAATCCCCAACGCTCCTCATAGCCCCTGATAACATCCTTCAATGCGTCTCCCTGGGGAACCTGACCTATTCAGTCAGGAGAAGCTTCATGATGGCTTCACACACTTGATGGACGCAGATACATACGGTTTGCCTTCCCGACACCAAAAGGTTGGCCACAGTTCTATATTCTGCGGAGGAAGCCATCCAGTAGATTGTTATAGCAACCTTTTTCTTCACATCCAGTGGTTCCTCAACTGTATGTTCAGAGGGAGAGAGCTCATCGTTTAGTCGAGTGCAGATCAATTCATACGTTTCTCTTCGCATTCTAAAATTTTCTAACCATTCGGCATCAGTGAAATGTTTACCAACAACTTCCGTATACCAATGACTTGATCTTGGCTTTCTTCTAGAAGTTCGATCATTGGAACATCCCAGTATCAGACCAACACTGATGTAATATGGGAAATGCCTATACCTTCTTCTTATCGCACGTCTTACTCCATCCATTGCTAGTGCAGAAATGAACTATTATCAAGATTTACTACCGCTTTGCCTAAAGTCCGTATGAACGCATAGCAAATTGCTCACCCTAGCAAATTACACTCCCTATGTAAATTTACTCATGTATGCAAATTTGCACATGTGTATATTTTCGCCGCATAAACAAGCCTTTTAAGTAGGAAGGAACGTGGGAGATACATCGAGTCATCCGAGCTTCGACACAACTGCAACATGATGACTAAAGAATGACTCAGCCATTGGTCAAGCTTTTCCTTCCAGACAACCGTAAGTTCGACACAACGATATTTGACTGTATCTGGGATTAATTCGTACCCACATGTTTGACATAGTACCAAAGCTATGCGCATGCCTCACATTTACGCATATAGCGTAAGATACCCGTACCAAGTCACATCATCACACATACAGCCGTTACTTGCCTCTACATTAACGCATATAGCGTAAGATACTCGTGCCAAGTCACATCATCACACATACAGCCGTTACTGCCTCCACATTAACGCATATAGCGTAAGATACTCGTGCCAAGTCACATCATCACACATACAGCCGTTACTGCCTCACATTAACGCATATAGCGTAAGATACTCATACCAAGTCACATCATCACACATACAGCCGTTACTGCCTCACATTTTACGCATATAGCGTAAGATACTCGTGCCAAGTCACATCATCACACATACAGCCGTTACTGCCTCACATTTACGCATATAGCGTAAGATACTCGTGCCAAGTCACATCATCACACATACAGCTGTTACTGCCTCACATTAACGCATATAGCGTAAGATACTCGTGCCAAGTCACATCATCACACATACAGCTGTTACTGCCTCTACATTAACGCATATAGCGTAAGATACTCGTGCCAAGTCACATCATCACACATACAGCCGTTACTGCCTCACATTAACGCATATAGCGTAAGATACTCGTGCCAAGTCACATCATCACACATACAGCCGTTACTGCCTCACATTAACGCATATAGCGTAAGATACTCATACCAAGTCACATCATCACACATACAGCCGTTACTGCCTCCACATTTACGCATATAGCGTAAGATACTCGTGCCAAGTCACATCATCACACATACAGCCGTTACTGCCTCACATTTACGCATATAGCGTAAGATACTCGTGCCAAGTCACATCATCACACATACAGCCGTTACTGCCTCACATTTACGCATATAGCGTAAGATACTCGTGCCAAGTCACATCATCACACATACAGCCGTTACTGCCTCACATTAACGCATATAGCGTAAGATACTCGTGCCAAGTCACATCATCACACATACAGCCGTTACTGCCTCACATTTACGCATATAGCGTAAGATACTCGTGCCAAGTCACATCATCACATATACAGCCGTTACTGCCTCACATTTACGCATATAGCGTAAGATACTCGTGCCAAGTCACATCATCACACATACAGCCGTTACTGCCCTCACATTTACGCATATAGCGTAAGATACTCGTGCCAAGTCACATCATCACACATACAGCCGTTACTGCCTCTCACATTAACGCATATAGCGTAAGATACTCGTGCCAAGTCACATCATCACACATACAGCCGTTACTGCCGCCTCACATTAACGCATATAGCGTAAGATACTCGTGCCAAGTCACATCATCACACATACAGCCGTTACTGCCTCACATTTACGCATATAGCGTAAGATACTCGTGCCAAGTCACATCATCACACATACAGCCGTTACTGCCTCTCACATTTACGCATATAGCGTAAGATACTCGTGCCAAGTCACATCATCACACATACAGCCGTTACTGCCTCACATTTACGCATATAGCGTAAGATACTCGTGCCAAGTCACATCATCACACATACAGCCGTTACTGCCTCACATTAACGCATATAGCGTAAGATACCGTGCCAAGTCACATCATCAAACATACAGCTGTTACTGCCTCACATTTACGCATATAGCGTAAGATACCCGTACCAAGTCACATCATCAAACATACAGCCGTTACTGTCTCACCTATGGAATTCATCAGTTTCCGTGTGTTTTTAGTGGACAGGAATCCCTTTCGCCTTATGACATCTGCTACTTGTCCACAGATGGTGTTGATGAGCCACAGCGTCACGTAAGGCAATGACGACAACAGACCATTCTGCCATCAACGAAAAACTGTCTTACACAGAGTTAAAATACATGATAATTGTTTCTTAAAATGAGGAAACAACACGTTGTTCATCACTCGATGTTTTGAAAACGCCACGATTCCCTCAATTAGTGATATTATACACTTTCGAAAACCAGAAAGTATACACACTTGAAAACTGACAATCAGGCAGGACGGGCAGACATTATCAGAATGGTACGAGGCGGTAAAAAGTCGAGGAAATACTGCACACTTAAGGTGATGAAATACACCACCATCGAATATCATTTTCCTGAGATTGAATGAATGAATGAATTCATTGATAGTCCCTTCAAACATGGAGGAATGGTTTTATCCAGGAGTTTTTTTTATTCCGCCTGCTGACCATAACAAACACGGAACAACCATTGGTCAATCTTATCGAATTTTGGATTATTTTCACAAAATAAAATTTGTTTTTCTCAGGACTGAATGTGTTTAGAAACTAAATTACTGAATAACAGTTTGGAATCCATATTGGAAATTTAGCCAGCTCAATATTCCTCCCTCCGTCCCCCAAAAAGAAGAAATAGAACAAAACAATATTTCTTCGTCATTCGTGTGATTGCGGCGTAGAAACAAATCAACAAGAACAACAAATAAACTGGCGTTCAAAAGAAAGTACACACCTGATTCTTTGGTAAAATATTTTCTTTAAAACAGCATTAATATTTAAAAAGTGTTTTAATTCTGCCGTGTCACAAATATTGTGCAAGTGTTTCCAAAACATCACAGATATTGTACCCAATTACAACATTGCTAGCAAATGTTTATGGTTTTAATGGAAATAGTCCCAAAACACCAGTGTGTACTTTCTAATGTACGTCAGTATATATTAATAATTAACAAAAATTCCCGTAACCATTTCATAATTCCGTCATCTTTATATTCTAGATACACAGTAAAATATTCTTTCAGAAAAACCAAATTGCAGCATAGAACACGCATGCGTGGTGATTGTTGTACCCACCTGTTCAATATTAAACCTGAGTACCTGCTTCATGTACTGCGGGAGGCAGGTCATGATGGTGAAGGAGCCCCAGTCCTGGGCGAAGTGGGCAGCCACGATAGCCCACACAGCCTTCGACGAGAATATGTCCCTCCAGGGTGGAGATATTTTCTGAGGAATGGACATGGTTGACGACAGTAAAATCTCCCGAACGCCTTTACCGCGATATGTCGACAACAGAATGTGTCTCACAACTGGCATCATTAAAGCGAGACTATACATGTATACACCTGTACAAATCACTCTGCGGGCTGACACGCCTTTAATAGAACCGTCTGTCAGGTTAACAACAGTTGACCACATTTCACTTGAGCAAAAACGTGTTACAGGGACCATTAAAGATCCGGCATAGAAATGTTCTTCAGAAACCCATGCTTGTCGTAAGAGCCGATGCAAGTCATGGTATCCCGACTGAAGAGATCGACGTTCACGACGTCAATCAGTGATTGAGATCAGACGTTCAGCGCTAAGATAGTCGTAAGCGCTATACATTCATTAACTTACGACTATCTTAGCGCTATGGAAAATCTAAGCCCTGGGCCCTTATTTTCGAAACGTTCGTAGCCCTAAGAATTCTTAACTTTGATAGTAGCCAATGTGTTAAGAATGGGCTTAAGAAGTTCGTAGGGCTACGAACGTTTCGAGAATAGCTAGCCTAATTATTTACAGACCGCTGTCATGTTTGGAATATTACAAAATGGACCTTAGAACAAGAATAAAAAAGTGACAGATTGTTGCAATTAATTTGTTTCTGCCGCAGTCAGAATTACTTCAACAATACCAGGTGTCTGTCATAGACGGAATGTAATATTGTAGGCTTACTTTGTGTTTCTTCCCAATGGAGTTCTCAATGTAAACTCTCTCTGCTAAAACGATGCGTGGGTGCTGTGCAGGTGAGTCGTGCACGAGGATGAACCACATTATTGACCACAGACACCCAAAACCACCGAAAACGTAGAATACGGACGGCCAACCACCGGCAAACCCGTACTTGCACAGGTAACCCGTGCCCAGCATCGCAACAACCGTACCTATCTGTGCACCTGAAAATAACGATTATCATGATGATTATCATAATCCGAAAACTAAAAACTATTGACATTAAGAACTGTAATGACGAGAAAGTCTTCACATTTAGGCAATCCTTATTTCAAAACATCGATTAGGCACACAATCCCCACTACCCCTCCCGTTTGTCGCGTCTAAAGACCATGGGTTGCTAAAGACCAATTATAAGAAAGATCTTCATAGGGACATATATGGAGTAACATTGTAAGCTCAAATAAAGCATATGCAGCCTCCATCACTTTAATGGTTGAAGCGTCCGCTCGTCACGCCGAAGACCCGGGTTCGATTACCCAGATGGGTACAATGTGTGAAGCCCATTTCTGATGTCCCCCGCCGTGATACTGCTGGAATATTGCTAAAAACACACTACTCACTCACTCACAGGCATTGTGTATTCATACCTTTGACAATGGGTGCCGAGCCACTTTACACTTGTCAGAGTGCTACACTAAGTACGTGATCTTGACCACCAGTTGTCACACTTCTATTTTGTGGAAGCTGCGGTGGCTGAGTGGGTTAGATCGCTGACTTTGTGGGCTTCTCACTCTGAAAGTGAGGGCCCAAATCTCGGATAGCACTAGAATCTGTACTTTACTAAGAAAGTGTAATTCAAGATGTACCATACGCTGCATTTGTCCACTATCTAAAAGACATTGTGTATTCGAGTACTTCATAGTCTCATAGACACTGTATTCTAGTTTCAGATAAACTCCAATTGTTACTTTTTGTGGGACCCGTGAAGACCCTGGTTCCAATTAGACTTCAGTAACCCATGCTTGTCGTAAGAGGCGACTAACGGGTTCAGACTCGCTGACTTTGTTGATACATCATATCCCAATTGCGTAGATCGATGCTCATGCTGTTGATCACTGGATTGTCTGGTCCAGATTCGATTATTTACAGACCGCCGCCATATAGCTGGAATATTGCTGAGTGCGGCGTAAAACTTAACTCAATCACTTTTCGTGATCTGTGCGATATCCGTCGTGGGCGTCACCACACAAGCAACAGAAGCTAGCCAGCACGATGGTCTGGTAAATTTTTAGATGTTCCATACATCTGAGTAAATTCACCATAGTTGGTCTGGTTAAATCCATTTTGGGCTGGTAACATTTTAAAGTTACCAGCCCTGATGTCTGGCTGGATTTTTGGCTTATTTCATACACTGCCAATGGTGCTTCTCATATAAGTATACACTTGATTGTTACACACAGGACCATTACTCTTTGAATGTTTCTTATTTGCGCCACATACCTGCGTAGGTATTAGTGATGAGTTTACTCCTCTCCATAGCGGGCGCCCACTTCCCCCACAGAGAGTGCATCGCTGGGTACGCCACACCCTGTAAGTATCAAGTATCTAGGTGACCTATGTACCATGAATACTTGTCATGTGCTGATAGTACATTGCACTGTGCATATGTGCAATATTATCTGACACTATTGTTATATGCCTTCTACATACCTACCCTGTACACACATTGAATCGCCCTCGCTAAGTATTCAAGAAACAGGCCATGTGCCAACCTGGAAAATGCCTCTTAATTAAAAGAAACAGGTCCTATACCACCTGGAATATGCCTTTTACGTACAAGAAACAGGTCCTATACCACCTGGAATATGCCTTTTACGTACAAGAAACAGGTCCTATACCACCTGGAATATGCCTTTTACGTACAAGAAACAGGTCCTAAACCACCTGGAATATGCCTTTTACGTACAAGAAACAGGTCCTGTAACCACCTGGAATATGCCTTTTACGTACAAGAAACAGGTCCTATACCACCTGGAATATGCCTTCAACGTACAAGAAACAGGTCATGTAACCACCTGGAATATGCCTTCAAAATACAAGAAACAGGCCCTGCACCTACCTGGAATATGCCCTGCACAACTCTGATGGCGAGAAGCCATGTGATGTGGAACCTGACGGCGATGGGGATGAGGAGCGAAAGGAGGGAGGGGACGAGTATTCCAGCTCCGAATAACAACTTTCCTCCAAACCTCTCCGCCAGCCATCCCCCCGGGAGCTGCGTGAGGCAGTAGCCGTAGTAGAAGGCCCCCAGAATGTAGCCCTGGGTCTGCTCATCCCACAGGAACTCCCCACGCTGGAACAAGTGGACATGGCTCAATATCAGTGTAGTATTATAAGCACTGGCAGAAAGAGGTGCATGTAGATCAAATGACCAGTGTCTTTTGACAATTCCTGTGACTAGGACAAAAACATTTGGTGACAGGTCACTCGAGACGACTGGCCCTCATCTCTGGAACAATCTTCCATCTCACCTCAGAACACAACCAGATTTAGCTGTTTTTAAATCAAATCTAAAGACATGTCCTTTGCTGAAGCACTTGAACTCAATGTGATATCTAGACCATCTTAGAGCCAAAGCGCCTTTGAGCGGTTTACGGATATAGGCGCTATACAAGTATTTGTATGTATGTATGTATGTATGTATGTATGTATGTATGTATGTATGTATGTATGTATGTATGTATGTATGTATGTATGTATGTATGTAGTTCAGAAGTCCTTAGATTGTGCAAGCGGCTCTAGTGACGCCGTGCGATCTTGTGTCCCTTAGGCGTTGCAGGATTCGCTGATAAGGGTTCGATGATGGCCGTTTGTCTGTCAGCACCAGTGCTTGTTGGTTTCATTCACTGTACCAGTTCTGTCTTTTTCCGGTTAATGTATACTACCCATCAGAAGTTAAGACTCACTTAAAACACTCACTATAATTATGTTATGTATATATGCATGGTTACATCGAAGATTGATTTCTCCACTAACTTGGGGAACCAACTGCACACTTTATGCAGATGAATTGCACGTGGATCATGCATCAAATTGCTGAAAAGCATGTGCAAATATCGTGCATGTGAACAGCTGCGTCTTGGTGTAAAGTTTTGTTAAGAATTCGCCAATTTCACTGATTTCTTTATATATATTAAACTCATGACAATAATCTTTTCAACGTTACGAATTTGTTTTACAATACATTAGTTCATGTGTAAACAGTACCTTTAACCGGTATGGAATATTTTGCAAACTTTAGTTTAGAACAGTTGCCTGAAGTAAGTGGCTATATTTACTCTAGTGAGTCTAAACCTTTGGTGGGAAGTATATATATACCGAGTTATACAGTTCATATACAGTTCACATTATTTTAGGGCTAAGCCAAACTCACTCACTAACTCAAACACCCCACACGGTCTCCCACTAAATCGCATTGGTTCACTGTGTGAAACCGAAACCTGATTATTGGTAATGGTCAAAATGTACTTCATATAACCTTTCACATGAATCCGTGATCTATCTATAGTTAACATAGTACATGAACGTAGTCCACATAAATGTCTGTAGGAGACAACCAATATAAATGATGACGACCTTATCTGGTCTAATCTCGAAAGGCCTTGTTATTTTTAATAAACGGATATGTGGTCCACATTCCGGTTTTAAGGTTATGCTATAAAGGCCAACCACCTGTCTCTTTATTCCGTAGTAATAAACATGTGTTACCTCTGGCGCTGGGGTGTTGGACGTATTTCTGTTAGAACTGCCAGGACATTCGTCATCAAAGGAACTGTTCTGTCGAAGTTCGCTTGATGCGTTCACCATGGCAACCAGTGCCACACTCAGATTGACTCGAATAGCGAACAGGTTGATAAACCCCAGGAAGGACCATATTGCTAAAACATGGCGGGCGGCCACATTCTTGCATACCAACGAACCTGCAAGTGGAAATATTGGTTTGAAGTTTTATACCCACAAACGTTAAAAGCTGGCACTTGTTGTCACCGCGCCTGGCATTCGGAATTAAGAGGGCAACACGAGGATTGGTGGGCTCAGTCAGTATGCTGTCCCGTGTTTGAGTGGGGTATACATGTTAAACTAGAACATGGTATCTTAGCGAGCTAAAACATCAAACAGTGCACCTTTTAACTGGGAGATAGCGTGAAAGATTCATTGCATGAGTGAGTGATTGAGTGACTTTGGTTTAAGTCCCCTTTTGACTATATTTCAGTGTGTAAGGGTGTATGTGAGGAGAAGGCGAAGCTGAGACAGGTCAGTGCCGTTCATAACATGGTTTACACAAACCACAATCGGTGTGAATCTGAGATTCGAACCCGTGACCAGCATATTTGAGCTTTAAAAAACAAACAACACAAGCCCTCCACTTTCACACATACTCTATAAACTTGCTTTCTCGTTAAAATAAATGCAGATGGATATGCAGCATGGAGTGAGCATGAGCTGTGGGCTTTGTATATTGAAAGGTAATACATAGTAAAACAATAATGTTTGCAAAAAATAACATGTTTTCTTTCACCCCCGTCGAGCCACACTAGCCTGCTGTACGGTTAACCATATGTCTGTTTAACATACCAATACAATATGTATCAGTCTGTAGGGCAATATAGTCCGTATCGTGAAAACTATTATAAATTTGATGAAGCAAATGTAGATTTATATGACACTACTATCTGCTACTAATCTGTGTATATCAATACCCAGAAGCATTCATACTCCGTAGCATCACATGATATAGGTCGCTATGGTGGTGGCACGGTGTACAGTTTACAACCTATAGATAAAAAAGAATCAGGTGATCCCAAGCGACGTTTGCCGTGACGAGCGGCATGGGTGACCGAGTTCGGCTTATTGACTCCTTAGCCTTTCCAGGTCTGCCCCACTATAAGGCACATTCAGGCAAATGACTTATATTGAAATATGCCTCTCTTTAATCAGCGAAACGGTGTGCGGTAGGATGTGATACTACTGTGTCCGTGAACCTTCCTGCACCTGACAGACAGCTTAGGGTGTACTGAGAATAAAGTCGAGCTCATTGAACGGGGTAATAATGTAACCCAGGGTATAAGCACATTTAAGCAGAGATGTAGTAGAAACACTGACGCACATGACGCTAATTCTGATAATTTTCTAAGAAGTTTATTGTGTAATGAGGCACTCGGCAATATACAAGCTATATGGCGGCTCTAAGTAAATGGACCAGACAATCCACTGATTTCCATTATAACCCTCGATATACTCATATTGGGTTATAATGGCATGCATCAACCATATCTGCCCGCCTGATCCAGTCAGTCACCTCATACGACAAGTATATTCTGCTGAAGATCAATTCAAACCCAGATGTTCCCGTGTATAAATGTCGAAGATTAAAGGTAAGCATAAAAACACTATAGGGTTCTCCAGATGAATGTAATAACTGCATCCTGTGATATCCAGGGGAAGTAACCGTGGAAAGGCAGTGTTACCATAACAACACTTCATTACATATGGATTTCGGTGTCTATGCTGATACATATGTATATCACATTGGTTACAACAATAAGGGCTGTGTATCAAACAGTAATAATGTATCCGATATATAAAAAACTGACTTTTATATGGAAATATATAGTTAGCGGAGTATGCTAATTTCTAGGCGCACATTATTTTCTCAACTAAAGCTTGCTCTCTGAAAAAGTATAATTTTGACAGAAACGAAATAAACAAAAACCATTTAAAGTTAAAGGAGAATAGTTGTTTAGGGCATGATAATCATTGTCAACAGGACAAGTACTCTGTTAATGACCACCCTACAGATAACAGGTTGTTGTTGTAATTTGTTATCATGATCGCCTGAGTGAAGAAATGAGTTACTATTTCAAGGACACTGATCCTCAACCTAATGATGATAGAACAATTCTCTTGGGAAACAGGGGCGGTGGAGTAGCCAAGTGGGTAAAGCGTTGGCTCGTCACGCCGAAGACCCGGGTTCGATTCCCCCAGATGTGAAGCCCATTTCTGGTGTCCCCGCCGTGATGTTGCTGGAATATTGCTAAAAGCGGCGCAAAACCAAACTCGCTCGCTTGGGAAACAGGACTTCACATCTGTATATAGTGAGTGAGTGAGTTAAAATTTATAGTCACTGTGGCATTATTTCGGCCATATCATGACACATCTGTACATAAGCTGAGATAGAACACACTTGCAATAGAAAGGGATGAATTACACAAATGTAGAAAAGTGGATAACGAAAAATAACAAAATACGGAACTTGACATTTAATATGGGGAAGGGTGGTGGTTGTGACTTTGAATCATGAAAAATGACAGCGAGGGATGTTGTTGCCCAAATCTATGAAAACTAACAGGTGAATGGGGTTTTGAGTGGTAGGCATGTAAAAGCGAATCCTATTTCGACAAAAAAGATAGATTTATGTAAACTGACATTATCTATACAATGGTCAATTATTACATGTCGAGGCTGGTGGATAGAAATTGTTACCGAGGATGGGGTTAGTAGAATATGATACAGACTTTTAAGCATTTTCACCGTGCTCCAAAAGCAAGCTTGTTGGGCAAATCCGCTTCCACTCATACTCAGTGTACAGTCTCGCGTTGGAGGAGCGTAGTGTAAACACGACTGTGGGGTATCGATGATATCTGTCAGTACCACATCTACTCAGTAGTGGCGGTTATCTTATACAAGTAGGCTTATTGTAGATATGACATGGCTACTTCAGCGCTCCCTGACTGCATTTTGAATGATTGACATATCTGTATCCGTAAGAAGTTCTAAACATAGGACTCCGAAAGGCACTGATGGTCTAGCGTTCATTATTGAGCAATAAACGAAACCGAGGTTAAAATCTAAAATTGTAAAAACCGAATGATAAAAGTCGTTCAACTGAATGTGCATATTTTATTTGATTTTTCGATACGATGAAACATAGCATGGCGATAGTCACATGATATGTAAATGACAATATTGATTGTCGTATCACAAGATACGTACGTCCACGATGGTGGCGTTCCAATCTGTACCTAGTGTAACAGCCTGTCCTGTTATCACAGCTCTTCTCCTGTTTGGAGCCGAGGGAGTAAGTGTACAGTACAGATTCTGTCCTGTGAGATCCTCCTCCATTTCTGGCAAATTATGCAAGTTAAAGTGCGTTGACGTACACGTATATCGGGTTTAGACCCGGAGATCCGAAAGGTCATGGCAAGACATGGATGTTTGAATTATGAAAGAAGTCACAGTGATACCAGCTGTGTGGTGTAGTTTTGTAATTTGAAACAACTCCCTCTGTCGGTTGATGATCGGAAAAAGGTGAAACTGAAGAATTTGGACGATGTTGCTGTCATATTCTCTTGAACCATCCCCAAGCCTGATCTCCGAGCGTGGGATATCGCTCCTCACATCACCATGCACGGTCGCTCCCCACGACACTGAATCAGTCGACGTCGCTAGACTATCTTCAGCCTGACCATCTCGGCCCGGTTGCACAAAGCTCCCGTTGCCAAGGCCACACTTAGCAGCTACGAGGTAAGGGTGGGCTTTAAAAATATTTACACTTGTTTCACAACGCGCCTTTAGGGCCATCGTAAGGGATATCTTCCCTGCGACAACCCTTAGGACTGAATTGGAACTCTTTTGCAATGAAGATGCGTATTTCCCTAAGTTTGCCTTAGAGTAATCTCCCTTGCCACAAGGTGCACGCGCACTCGGATAATCCCTCAGACGACAGAAGTGGTTGTAAAAATTAATCGCTTCCTGGAATGTGCACAAACCTATGCTCACACTTGTCCACAGCAGTAAGTATGGTAACTCGGGCACATAATGAAAAACACCGCGCCAACTCTACATGGGCCCCGTTCCTGAAAGCGACCGTAGCTTCAATCAGTTGTAAACCCTACGATCAACTTCACAATTATCGTAAAATACAATTTGTTGTCGTTCCTCAAAGCTATTGTAAGGGAATTGTAAGTATCGCGATTGTAAATCATTCGATCGTAAATTACAATCGTGATCTTCTGCGCGAAAGTTAGAAATAATGCATTTACATTACTTCCGGTTGGTGAGAGTTGTTTCCCCTTTCAAGCAGCGGTGCAATGGATATCTCCAAGCTCGGAGAAAAATCCACCCTTAGCAAGATAACACAAAGTAATTAAAACTCCGAGGACAACCCAGGTTCTAGCATGCTTACCAGTTTCAGAATGGAGCTCTCGTCATTATGTACCTTCAAAATATTTCAGCGTCATTGTAAACATCAAGAACACGACTACGGTTTCGAAATATCCTCTCAGGGCCAAATTTCTGTCTCCTTTGTTTATGAATTACAACAAACACCGCCATCTTGTTCATACACAACAGACGGTCATGAGCAACGTACGGAATTGATTGTAACTTACAACTATTGTAACGTACAATTGCTTTGAGGAACGGTGGAGTGATTGTAAGTTAACGTTACAATTGGATTGTAGTGATTTACAACTATTGTAGTGTTACAATCGCTTTGGGGAGCTGCCATGAAGGGTAGAAGCTCCGGAGTTAGCACTTGATCACGATATCCTGCAGCATTAAGGTTTCCCTGGATAACAACAAGCAGTCGCGAAAAGACATGTCCACAAAAGGCACCCCAAACCATAACACTTCCGCTTCAGAATCGGTCCACGTCCTGTACACAACACTGGGCGTGGCGTTCACCACGTCCATACTCTGATCCTGCCATCAGCGAATCGTAGAGAGAATCTGGTCCATCTTCCAAGGGCCGTTGTGCTCACAGCTGCCTTTGACGTCGGTGTAAGAGTGTCAAAACGGGTCCACGATATGGTCGCCGTACATGAGGGTGAGCGGTTCGCAAGCGATTACGTATGGTTTTCGCAGACACACGACCCTGGTACAGTTCATTTCTGGTGGATGTTGCAGTGACAAATCGACT